CCACTGACCCGATCACCTCCTGGCAAATAGAAGGGGAAGATATGGAGGCAGTGACAGATTTTACTTTCTTGGGCTCCATGATCACTGCAGATGGTGACAGCAGCCACGAAATTAAAAGACATCTGCTTCGTGGGAGAAAAGCAATAACAAACCTTGACAGCATCTTAAAAAGCAGAAGCATCACCTTGCTGACAAAGGTCCACATAGTCAAAGCTATGGTTTTTCCAGTAGCAATGTACGAAAGTGAGAGCTGGACCATAAAGAAGGCTGACTGCCAAATAATTGATGCTTTTGAATTGTGGTGCTGGAGGAGGCTCTTGAGATTCACCTGGACCGGAAGGAGATCAAACCTATCCATTCTGAAGGAAATCAACCTTGAGTGCTCACTGGAAGGACAGATCCTGAAGCTGAGGCTCCAATACTTTGCCATCTCATGAGAAGAGAAGACTCTCTGGAAAAGACCCTGATGTTAGGAAAGTGTGAAGGCAAGAGGACAAGGAGACAACAGAGGATGAGATGGTTGGACAGTGTCACTGAAGCAACCAACATGAATTTGACCCAAATCCGGGAGGCAGTGGAAGACAGGAGGGTCTGGCATGCTCTGGTCCATGGGGTCATGAAGAGTCAGACACGACTAACCAACAACAGAAATTAAAGTGAACCTACTTCAGTTTAATAAAACATCATATTTTTTCTGTACACTGAGTTACAAAACATGGGGATTTCTTTTAAATTAATGTTTAATGTACACAGTTTAATTCAGCAGAATAACCTATAGATATCAATGCTGTGGCAATGGTCATGTTCATGAGAATTATTTTCCTTTGCTTTCCCCCATTTCCTGAACTAGTTTCTTGAGATTTCATTGGACTTCAATCATCTATAATTTCAACCCTTTGCAATTTAGCTGCTATATTATTATCATCAGCAGAAGTATTCTCTTTACACTGGAAAAAAATGAATGTTATATCTAAGTATTTTGAATATCAATTAAGAATACAATTAAGAATATAATATTATTGAGCAGCAGCAAGCATGAATTAGATCTTCTAACTCAGATTCTATATTTTGGAGCTTAATGCTTTCATCTCTTCCATATCACAAGGGGTAGGGATCACTCCTCTAACAATAAAAGGTACAGGCCTGCTGCCTTCTTAATGCAACATTAAAATCATTTCAGTGCTTATGACAAAACTGTATTCAGACAGGTAAAAATTGCTAATCGTAATAAATACAGGTCTCTCACATAGAAATGAACTTCCATTAAAAGTATGATAAAATATAAACAATATGCATGGTATAGATGAAGTTATCCATAAAAACTAGGCTTGTGTCTTGAGATGGGCATGAATCGGGATCGTCAGATCATGCTGAATTGTTGTACTGGCACCACAGATGCCACGTGGTCCCATCCCCCAACCCTGCTCCATTCACCAGCTGGTGCACACTCCACTCCTCCTCCTCTGTTGTTTCACCAAGTGCAGCAGAAGCACAGACTTCTCTTCTCCACCTCCTCCAGCAGTTGCCCACTCAGACAAGGAGGTGGGGCAGGGATTGCTGCAGCACTGCCTTTGAGTGGGCAGCTGCTGGAGGAAGTGGAGAAGGGAAGTCCATGTTCCTGCCGCAATTGGTGAAATGACTGTAAAGGAGGAGGACTAGAGTACATGCAGGCTGGTGGGTAGAGGAATCTGGCCATGGAGTGAGCTATGGGACCGCAGGGCACCTGTGGTGCCAGTATGATGATCCAGCATAATCCGACAGTCCAAATTCATGCACATCTCTACTTGTGATTTCATAATGAGGTTCACTAGCAATTAACAAAATGTATTGGCTAAAATCCTGTTGCTTAGTTTAGTAAGTTGCACTACAGTAAGTCAATGGAATCAATAAGAATTTGGTGACTCAACTCCTTTATCAGTACTGTACAGTTTATTCAAATGGGCCTACTCTAGCTGCAACATACTTTACCATAGGAGATTTTAAAAAATTATAGAAACCACAACCATAGGCTAGGATACAATGGAAAAATGAACAGAAATGCAAGAAGGGTGACTGCCTCTTTACACTTCAGCTTTCCTCTGGGCCCCTGTCAGATCTGAGCTGAGGAACTGGGAAGTCCTCTGGAATAGATTTCTGGGTAGCATGAAGGGAAAGAAAGATCCATCATACTGCCTCAGCAGTGTTGGCACACCCTTAGATTTCAGTTATTTTATGCAAATAGCAATATGTTGGGCAATATATGCAATTAAAATCACCTTTTGCACAGCTGTTCTCTCTTTTTGATAATCAGCTTTGAGAAAGATTGCTGCATAGAGGTACTGTAATATTGTTTTTCAATACTTATGGTTATTTGTGTTTGTTAATTTCTCCACAGAATCTCTTCTGACATTCAGCCTAACCACACGCAACTCCTTTACTGGATGCATTCGGAATTTTATGATTGATGAAAGGCCAGTTAGTTTCAGTAAGGCAGCTTTGGTCAGTGGTGCTGTAAGCATCAATACATGTCCGGCTGCCTGAAAGACTGAAGAAACGACAAGTGGCACTGAAAGAGAAAAACAAGCAACAGAAGTTGTGCTGTGTTAATTTTCAGCACCAAAGATGAAAATGCATTGTTCGCTATATGTACATGAAAAGACATTATGCTTATAATTTCTGATGGGACTCTTTTTATTATCAAAGAAAGAATATTTTAAAATTTTTGCAGCACACTAAATTCCTGAAATATATAGCAACTGTATCTGATGCAAAAGCCATGGCAAAGAAGATTATAGGCCCAAATCTATGCAGAGATAGATGAACCCGAGCCTGTTGCAATAACACTAATTCTACATAGAGCTTGGAAAGGTTCATTTTGGATTTTTCCAGACAATATAATAGCCATGATGACTGGGGGATTTGGGGAACTGTAGTCCAAAAGAGTAACTTTTTCAAACCATGCATGACAGCTGGGTTTACAATTCACCAAGCATGAGCTGACATCTGCATCTGATGGAATACACCTGGACAAAGCATACTGTAGCCTGCCAGCGAAAAGCCCCAACACCATCCCTTTCGCTGATTGTGACTAATTACTATCAGCAGTGGAGGCTGCAACACTTTTCTTAGTTTGACCCAGAAGCTCACTACAGCAAAAAAGGGTTTCTGCTTTTCCCCACGATAATTCATTTCATCACTTTTATGCCAACTGAGCCTGGATGGTTGGTGTTACATATAACTGAGATCACTAAATGTCTTCTTTTTAAATAAAAGATACCATAGTGTTTGACTCCTGTTCCCTAAGCCAGCCTCTGCTTACAGTCTTTTGCAGGCCCAGAAAACACCTGCAGAATATCCCAGAATTCCTATGCAGTCCCCAATCTCTGTCTGATAGACGTTATTAAGAACATAAAGAGAGCCATGCTAGATCAGACCAGAGGCTGGTCTCTTCCAACATTCTGTTCATTCAGTAGCCAACTGCTTTGTCCATGGAAGCCAGCAGGAGATATGAGTGTTACTGCACCCTTAATCTAGCACCTCCCACAACTGATACACTGAGCGATACTGATTGGATACTGGGGTGATCGCCATTCTGTTAGCTATTCAGAGACCTAGGCTCCATGAATTCATTTAATTCCCCTTCTGAAATCATCCAGCTTAGCAGTTGTTGCTACATTTTGTGGCAGTAAATTCCACTGTTTAAATGTGTTCCGGGTGAACCCACGCTTATTGGAGGATACAAATAGCTTGCCCACTCTTAAAAAGCTGGCTTGGGATATGGAAAGCATGCATGGGGCTCCTGTTCATCATGTCCAGCTCTGCTACTTTTCTTCACATTCGTAAACAGAAAGGAAAGATATGTTTCTACTGAACACTACTGAGATACTGTATTTGTGCTATGGTTTGTATTAAAGATTTTTTTTTACAACTATCTTACAGAATAAACTGTGTAACAGAAATGATTCACAAACAGTTGTCTTTGAGTCTCTTTATTCTGTTTTTAATTCATTGTTCAATTAAATTAGGGAACATGGTTATCACGGGGAAATTGGAATTAGTTTTGTTTAATTTTCATTTGAATTTGTTGAACATCTTGTAATCCATCTCTACACTAGACAAGTGTAACAAAGTATTCCTTGTTATGTGCCAAAGTGGGCTTTTTCATGTTACTTCTTTGCAGTTATTTAATCTACAATATTCTCCCCTTCTAATATTTGTAAAATAGATTTTCATGAAAAAAGCTGCACACACAAACAAAATTGCAATTATGAAGTTGTCATTGGAAGTCAAGCTGTTACAAAGATGCTTCAAGCAATATAAGAGTAAGATTTTTCTCATAGATGTATCAATTATCTTTGTAAATACAACGTATTTATTCTGTTTGTTGATACAGTATCTTGTTCTCCAAGGGATAATACAAATGTAGATAACTGAGAAAGGAAGGAGCATGGCAGCTGCATCTTGGAGGAAATGTATGTGGGCCAATGCTCCTCTAAAATTATTTCTAATCTACCTAAAGGAGAGGCTATACAGGGCACAGAATCACCACCCTTTTACTTAAGACTCAAACAAAGATGTCAGTCTGTTAATAAAATATCAATTTTCATTTCTCAGGATTCTATAGAATCTAGAGCCACATATCGAGGCAGAAAAGAGTTAATGAGTTTCTTCTTGGAATATTTTCTTTGTAACAATCTGAAAGGTCAAACCTGTCTCTTTCAATTTGTATATGCAATCAAGCCTAGCTTCTACATCAATATATACATTTTATCACCTGCATAGGGGTAAGGATGAAGGTCAGTATCAAGCCTAGGGGCAAGCCTGAAACTGCAACTATAAATGCCTTCTCCTATCTGAAGGTCAGCCCATCTATCAAATTAGAAAATATGAGCTTGCATTCTTCATTATCTAACTAGCATTAGAAGTACAAGCTTTTGTTTTTCTTTCAGTTCCTACCATTGAATTTTCTCTTGCTATTGTTAAGTGTTTGCAAAGCAAATTTCAATACAGTACTTCACTGTAAAAATTGCTGTTGGCTTTCTTATTGTACATTGTAGTTCTTTGAGATTCATCTTAAGGTATGCCCACACCTTTTCCCCTGGAAGAGGATTTTCCAAATGCAATACTGGTTTTCCACTAGGGAAGGATTTTATCACTGTCTTTATGACTGTTGGTAGATAGACATATAAGGTACGAGAACAGACTCTCCACAATTAAATGGACATCCCACTAATACAGAACAAGGATGGTATCAGAGTTTGAAAAATGCTAGATGTCTGGAATTTCCACATCTCAGGGCTGAAGTCTTGTAAAATTACTGCTTTTCCGAATCACTAAGTGAGGGAACAAACCCTCAGGGCAAGCAACACTAGTGAGGGGAACAGTTTGATTTGTGTGTGTGAAGTGCTTTACAATTGGGATACCCATCTCTATACATTCCCAGCTAGTATCAGGATAGGCCTGCTTATCATGAAGAGGTATAGGGGTTGCCCAAAATGGTACAATGCATCCAACTGCATATACCCACTATTTCTCTCTCCTCACTCCTGTTTGGTGCAACGCTGGACCCATCATGTTGTTTTAACAAGGAAGGAACTGGAGCAACAGTATAATTTCCAGTTCATGAACAATGGTGTGGCCATGCCACCCCAAGGGAGGGTGAAACACTGGCACATTTCCTGCAACTAGGATCCTTTCAAATTGCTTTCTATTCTGTCTGAACACCCCCGTCATCCCCTCCCATCAGGCAACTGCCACCTGCCTTTTCAGGCTGGCTTCTCCTTCAAAACCACCCTTCCTTTGTATCTGATAGGGAACCCTCCCTTACTTAAGACTGCTTCCCCCTTTAGGTGGGGGAGGAATCTTAACCCACTTTGTGCTCCATCCCAGACTGAGGAAGCCAGCTCACCCTCTTAATTTGCCTGCCTGCCTCTCTGCTTAGGGTGGCTTAGGATGCTGAAACCCAGAAAAAGAGTCCTCCTGCAACTGGCCCTTTGAACTGCTTGGAAAACTTTGCTTCTCTTCTCCTCCTCCTCCAGCCAACTATGTGTGTGTGCATGTTTAGGGGTATATTAGGAAAGTTGCTGGTGCAAACCTAGGACAGAAATCTTCCTTTCCCAACCTTTGCCTACCTCAGTTTAGTGACTTCACAAGAGTCCATCCCTTGTCCTCCAGTTTTACTACTGGTTATCTCAGTGAATGTGATGCTTTTAACGGGTAACCCTAGAGGTGTCTGGTCATCAAGTGTAATAAAAAGCTATTTAAAGAGAAGAAGGCCTTTAAATATAGCCAAAAATTCTCAAGGGTCAGTGGAAAAGACCAAGCAGCAGTAATGCTCTAGAATCTAGTCGTCGTCTACTATTGAGGAAAATTAGCTAGCACCCACATCTTTTACATATTATCTGCAGATTTCATTTTTTAAACGGTAGAGGGCAGTGTTCTCTTTTAAGTTATCAGACAAGGATAGTTCTCAAAAATGAAAAATGTATTCCTCCTTGCACTCCAGTCAAATGGGATTAGGAACATAGTATGGGATAAGGAAGCCAAATCCTGTATTTCCACAATCATTACATGGAGAGATCATTAACTGAGAGCAGCAGAGAGTGGGGTAAAGGAAAGCAGCCCTCTGTTAACCATCACTGTTTCTGCATTTGGAGAAGAGCAACTGTCAGCAGCAGAGCATGGGAGCAAAACCTATCAATCTATTTCACAGTTACTCATTATAGCATTATATAATTTTTATTTATATTATGTATGTCACAATCTTGTTGTTGTTTTTCTTGTATTAAAGTTTGTGCTACGTGTGAGAGAGCATAAAATATAATTAACCAAGTACAGAGCCTTAGTTCTGCATTAATCATAAATATACAAACTCCAAAACATGACACTGCCCCAAGAATGAACACATAAAGGCTATTGAAAACAGACTGGTAACAACAACGGTTTGACAACAGCAAAAGTTTACTGTCTAGTTGGAGAGTACTCCAGCCAGATTATTGTCATCAGGAGTGTCCTATTACAATTTTGAGAAGCCTGAACAAGGAAAGATAATCCTGGCCAGCATAGCTAGTGATGAAGGCTTCTGAGAGTTTTAGTCCAAGAACATCTGGGAAGCCAAGCTTGGGAACCACTGATCTAGTAAGCAGGATGATGTAGGAACAGGTATTTCTTTATACAGTATATCAAAAACAGTAACCTGAACTAGATGCAGTGGCTCTAGTGAAACAGAAATATAACAATTTGCCTAGAAATTAAACCAGCCATGCAGGTAGCCAGAATTTTTGTTTACTGCCTGCAAAGAATGAAGATCACAAGAGACGCACTTTCCAGAATATTAACGTTCGAAAGGCAGCTGGACCAGATGGAATCATGGGACAAGTTGTTAGGGGCTGTGCTGCAGAATTAGCTGGAGTTTTTACGGATATTTTCAATCTATCCTTGTTGCAGTGTTCTGTCCCCACCTGCCTGAAGACATCTATTATAGTGCCAGTCCCGAAGCAGTCAGCTGTGGTATCTCCCAATGATTATAGACCAGTAGCTTTAACATCTGTTATTATGAAATGTTTTGAGAGATTGGTGCTGGATTACATTAAGGCTAGTCTTCCACCTTCTTTGGACCCATGGCAATTTGCATACAGGAAAAATAGATCTACTGATGATGCTGTGTCCATTGTGCTCCATACTGTATTGAGCCACTTAGAGCAACAGGGAACTTACGCGAGGCTGTTGTTTCTGGATTATAGCTCTGCTTTTAATACCATTCTACCAAATACGTTGTTTTTTAAAATGATCAGCCTGTGATTACCTCAGGAGATCTGCATGTGGGTAAAGGATTTTCTGACAGATAGGCCACAGTCAGTAAGGATGGGATCTCACCATTCTTCAACCCTGGTACTAAGTACAGGAGCTTCCCAGGGCTGTGTGCTAAGTCCCTTCCTCTATTCCCTGTGCACACATGATTGCACCCCACTGTATAACACCAATGCAATTATTAAATTTGCGGATGATACGACAGTGGTGGGGCTCATAAATAAGAACAATGAGTCTGCTTATAGAAAGGAAGTACAAAG